AGCTCGTGGATCCTAGCGTCGGGCGCACGCGTCGGGCGCAGCCGAGGCCATTTAGGGATCGGGCGAAAACGGAGGTCGTGGATCCTGGCGTCGGGCGCACGCGTCAGGCGCATCCGAGGTAGTTTTAGGGATCGGGTGAGATGGAGCTTGCGGATCCTGGCGTCGGGCGCACGCGTCGGGCGCAGCCGAGGCAATTTTTAGGGATCAGGTGATACAGAGTCGTGGATCCTTGCGTCGGGCGTAGCCGAGGCAGTTTTAGGTGTCTTGAGCCCCTGATCCCTATTGGATTTGATAGGGGTCGGTTGAGTTTTGTGCGTTACCCCATCCGCGGTTTCTCGCAACCGAAGGGGCTGAGCTAACGTCGCTTGCCTCGATGGCTCGGGCTTGAGTGATACGCTCGGTGAGCTCGCTAACGGGTATGATTGAGTGAAATCCGAGTCCATCATTCGTGACGGGGACGGCATAGCCCTCTTGTGACATTTCACTTCTCCTTAACCTGCAACCCGGCAGATGCCGAGGTCATTCTGGAGACCGACCCGGGTGGCCCGCTGGCCTCCCCTCGATGGAGATTCTATGGGTTTGGTAGAGGTTTAGGATCGAACGAGAAGGTTGAGATGACCATGTCTGCTTTGGGGAAGATTGGGCGAGGCCCTCTCGGGGCTCATCTACGTTTTCTCCCCTGGCTCTGTTTGATGCGAGGCGGCCTCGAGCCCTTCGTGGGCTGGCCTTCGAACCCCGGTCGGTCATTGCTCATGTTGAATGAGGCAACTGCCGCTTCGTGACGCAACATGGAGCGTTGTGATGCATTTAACCGCATATGCAATGCCTTGGATGTATGGAATGAATGAATGCGTGTATAGATGTATGAATGATTATATAAAGAAATGGTGGGGATTGGTAATGTTACCTTTATAACTCGAGTGACGGGGTTTGAGGAGCTCCAATCAGAAATATCCAACCGGGATCCACGCTCGTCGTTCGTGATGGAGTCGGCATGGCCCACATGGGGCGTCCCTCTGCTCCTTACCTGTCTCTTGGTGTTTGCCTGAGCCGTCCGATCGACCCAGGAAGCCCGATGGTCTATCCTGGGCGGAGATCCCGTGGTTGGGCCTTTCCAAGTCCCGCCTGAGAAGGCGGGGGGCCGTCTACGCGTGGTGGCGCTTTGGTTCTCGCGTCCGGCGTGCGGTAGTGGTGGGCCATACCCAGGCCACGTCCCGTCTGACTAGGCGCCATTCCGTCGGGCAGGGTGCGTCCCATCGGTCAGGGCACGTCCCATCGTTTTCCATCCGCATTGAATGGGGTAAGGGAGAGGGTTTCTCGCCCCAATCCTTTCGTCTTTCCTCAACTGCTCCGCCTCTTCTTTAAATAGGGGAAGGGAGAAGGAAAGGAGAACTCACAGACCTGTTCGTGATTCTGGAGCGCAATGTTGAGCCTTGTCGGAGATTAAGACGTTTGGGACTGCGCCGGTGGGAGGTTTTGCCCTTGCAACTGCTCAGGTTGGCCAATTCATAAAGTTTGATGAGATATCTTCCAGCCACGGCGGCCATACCTCGGCGGGCAACGTCCCTGCCCAGGAGCTGCCTCGACTGCATGAGAAGGTCAGGAGTTCCATGCTCTTCTGCTGAGCATCTATGGGTGTGACGCCCTTGTGGTAGCCGTTGCGCTCGCCGAAGTCGAGGGAGCGAAACCGAGCGGGGTCCTTGAGGTACCCGTTGCGCTTCGCCGAAGTCGAGGGAGCGGAACCAGGTGGGGCCTTTGCGGCGGTGGTTATGTCCGGCGGCATGTGCCGTGGCCTCTCCTTTGGCATCAACTGATGCCGCCGAGCGGCCACAGTAGTGTTTAGAGTAGAAGTAGTTAGCAAATGTAATCGTTAAGTTCGCGGGGAGCCCCCATGTGAATTGTTTATATATCAATGAATACATCAGTTCTGTTTTGTGATAGAATCACTATCCGTTCCTTATTTTTATTCTAGCATAGCTTTATTTTTATCCTTTATTTTTCGCACCTGCCCGTTCGTTCCGTAGGCTGCAACTTTTAAGAACCTAGGCATGGCCCGCGAGGCTCGGCTGCTCGTAACCGTAGGTCGTGGCGGGGTGTGCTCGGTCGGGAGTAAGAACAAAGTCACGTAAGGTAATCAAAGGAATGGAATGCGCTTTCGTTCGGAAAAAAGTTTTTACCATGTGATAGTAAAAAAGAGATGTAGTATTTAGTATTGTACCCTCATAAAAGCCCCCGAGCGACCCGGACTGAAAGTGTTCGGGCTGGGGTGCTTTACAGGAGCAAGTGTTGAAAAAAACGGTAAGACCGAATTTAGGGGGGAAAACGACATAGCTGTTCAATGTTTCAAGTGTTGGTGAGAACGTTGCCGTTGTCGTCCTTCAGTCGGTAGGCACCCGATCGGATCACCTCGGTCACCGTATAGGGTCCTTCCTATGGTGGAGAGAGTCTGTGTTTCTCCTTCGTTGATTGGGTCCTCTGGAGTACGAGATCATCGACTTTGAGGATCCTCGCCCTGATCTTCCTTTCGTGGTACCTACGGAGAGTTTGCTGGTAGCGAGCGGAGCGGATGACGGTCGTCTCGCGGGCCTCCTCGAGCAGGTCGACTACATCCTAAAATTCTTACAAAAACCTAAAACATTTTGCAATTAAATTGGTAGACTATAATCACCTAAAAAATACTAGTTGTGAGCAATTAATAAGCTCAAAATTTAGGTCATATCGTCAAAAATATAGACCGCAGCTAAAGCCATCATAGTTTAAACAAATGTTTCAACTAAATGTATATTGGAGATCATAGAGGTGCTATGTAAAGAAAAAAATGATGGATATGGATGAAAAGTACATAAAAAACAATAATTGACAGAGTATCAAAACTGAATATAGACTATATAGTACCTTATAGCTATTATTTTAGAACATTAGTGAAGAGAAAAAATATTTAATATAAATAATTTTTAATAGTTAGTGTCTCCTAAGATTCTAACCCGTGCGAGAGCACGGGTTCTCGCACGGGTTCATGAACTTGTATGGATAAATCCTCTTGTATCGTCACATATATTTTTCTAGTTTTACATATACACTTCTCTTACCGAAAACACTAGATATTAGTTTTAACCAAATATTGAGTTAACGTTTCTATCAAAACCCGAGTTATATTAAATTTAATAAGGTTGATATATAAAAGAATATAAATATCAAAGAAATTTATAAGTTAGAAAAAAACCGTTAGTGATTTGGAACGGAGGAAGTAAAAACAGGATCCAACTATCCAAAACCCCTAGGTGTTTAATGGCCAAATGGCCAAAATAAAATGTATTTTGTATTTGACAGCGTGTGGTACTTCGCCTACTCTTCTACGCCGCTATAAAGGAATCGGATCAGATCACCACGCATTCCCTTTGCAGGCAGCACACTGTTCTTCGCCTACTCACCAGACACTAGTCACCACCCACCGTTCCTCTGCTGCCGCTGTTCCCGGCGCACATCAGAGCTCTTCTACGCCGCCCGTCTTGCTGCTCCACAGCGCGGGGCGCTTGGGCCTGCTCGCTGGAGGCTCCGCGGCTGGAAGAGCAGCGGCTCGTCGACGAGGGGCGCACGAGGAGCATCCCTTGACTCAGCGGCAGGAGTGAGGGGCAGATCAGGCCGAATATTTGGTCAGCTCGGGGCGCGTCGGGCAGATCAGCGGCTACGACGAAGGAAGGAAGGCGGAGCGAGGGAGGGTAGACCCACGGTGGCGAGGGCCGCCTTCGCGTCGCCTGGAGGACGTGCGCGCCGTCGAGCAGGAGCGAGAAGAAGTGGTACCAAACATTTCACTCGCCCACCTTCTTCACCACTCAAACCAATGACCCCTGCAGCCGGAGGAGAAGATGGAGGTGGCTCTCGGAGCGGCGAATTGGATCCTCGGCCAAGTCCTCAACAAGCTGTCTGATGTCCGATGACTTGCTGAAAGCGTACGTGTTCAGCACCGAGCTCGGCCTCAGCCTTGTGAAAATCAGAAAGGAGATGCTGTACACTAAAGGGCTGCTGGAGGCGGCCCAGGGGAGGGACTTCGCTGGGAACTCTGGCCTGAAGGGTCTGCTCGAGGACCTGAGCAACAAGGCCGACGGGGCTGAGGACGCTCTGGACGAGCTCCACTACTTCATGATCCAGGACAAGCTCGATGGGACTCGAGAGGCCACTCCAGAGTTGGGAGATGGCCTCAGCGGCAAAGCTCAGCATGCCTGCCATGCTGCTCGCCACACTTCTGGTAACTGGCTCTCATGCTTCTCTTGTTGCCGTTCGCAAGATGAGGATGTTGCTGCTGGCGACGATGTCCATAACACCCATAGCACAAGCAATGCCATTGCCATGTCTGTTGACCACAGTGGCCATGATGGAAAGTTACCATTTGACAGGGTGGCAATGTCCAACAAAATCAAGCAGCTCATAGAGGAGCTGCACTCTAACTGTACTCCTGTCTCTGACTTGCTCAAGATAGTGTCAGGCACTAACCCTCAGCAACACATGCCTGCCTTCGCTAAAAGGCCTGACACAAGCTCTGAAATCACACAGGAGAAGTTGTTTGGGAGGGATGCCATCTTTGAGAAAACTATAGAGGAGATTATCAGTGTGACACAGAGTGGTAAAACCTTGTCTGTTCTTCCTATAGTTGGCCCAGGGGGTATTGGAAAGACTACCTTCACCCAGCACCTCGTCAATGACACAAGGATTAAACAATGTTTTCCTGATATTAATATCTGGATATGTGTATCGACTAATTTTGATGTGCTCAAGCTCACCAAAGAGATCCTGAGCTGCCTACCTGCAACAGAAAATGCAGGAAATAGAACACCAAATGAAACTACCAACTTAGACCAGCTTCAGAAATCCATCGCAGAGAGGCTGAAATCCAAAAGGTTTCTACTTGTCTTGGATGACATATGGGAATGCAGCACTGCAGCAGTAGTGATGAGTGGGCAAAACTGTTAGCTCCATTCAAAAAGGACGAGACCAGTGGCAGCATGATTCTTGTCACAACTCGGTTCCCAAAAATTGTAGAAATGGTGACAAAAGAATCTAATCCAATTGACCTCCGTGGTTTGGATCCTGATGAGTTTTGGAAATTCTTCCAAATATGTGCATTTGGTAGAATTCAAGATGAGCATGGTGATCAAGAGTTAATTGATATTGCAAAACAAATAGCAGATAAGCTGAAATGCTCCCCACTTGCAGCCAAAACAGTTGGTCAGTTATTGATTAAGAAACCCTTTCAGGAACATTGGATGAAAATTCTTGACAACAAAGAGTGGCTAGAAGAATACCATGACAATGATATTATCCCTGCCTTGAAAATTAGCTATGACTACCTTCCCTTCCATCTGAAAAAATGGTTTTCATGTTTTTCCCTTTTCCCTGACGATTATAAATTTGGAAAGCTTGAGATTATTCGTTTTTGGGATTCTATAGGCATCATAGATTACCCTAAGCAGAATAAAAAATTTGAGGACATAGGATCAGATTATCTGGATGAACTATTAGATAATGGTTTTCTTATAAAAGGAGATGATAATAATTATGTAATGCATGATTTACTCCATGATCTTTCACGTAAAGTTTCATTAGAAGAATGTGCCTATATCAGTTGTTCTACTTTTGAGGCAAATGAAATCCCACAATCTATTCGTTACCTATCCATTTTCATGCATGATGATATTCATGTTAAAAGTTTTGAGGAAGAGATGGGTAAATTTAAGGAAAGGATAGACATTAAAAATTTGCAAAGTTTGATGATTTTTGGAGAATACAGTAGGTTACACCTGGTCAATGTTTTAAGAGACACATTTAAGGAAATAAAAGGTCTCCGTGTTTTATCTATATTCACGAACTCCCATAGTTCCTTGCCAAACAACTTTTCAAAGCTTATCCATCTTCGATACTTAAAACTTATGTCGCCTGTTTACGCAGAAGTGTGTTTGCCTAGCACAGTGTCTAGGTTTTATCACTTGAAATTCCTAGATCTTAACCAATGGAAAAGTAGTTATTCTTTGCCTAAAGACATTAGCCGCCTTGAAAATCTACGCCATTTTGTTGCTACGAAACAATTTCATTCCAATGTTCCTGAGGTGGGGAAAATGAAATTTTTACAAGAATTGAAATATTTCTATGTTAAGAACGCGAGCATTGGATTTGAGCTAGGAGAGTTGGGGAAACTAGAAGTGCTTGGAGGAGAGCTCAAGATATCTGGACCTGAAAATGTGAGAACCAGCCAAGAAGCCGAAGAGGCCAAACTGATGGAAAAGAGGAATTTAGTGAAGTTGGGATTAGTTTGGAATAGGAACCAAGAGTGCACTGGAGATGATATCCTTTTTTTAGAAAAGACTGGAGATGATATCCTAGATAGTCTCAAGCCACACTCTAATATTAGAAGACTTTGCATTGTAAATCATGGTGGCTCTGTTGGTCCTAGTTGGTTGTGCAGCAACATCGTATACATGAGAAACTTGGAGACCCTACATCTAGAGAGCGTATCATGGGCCAACCTTCCATCTATTGGGCAGATGTATCACTTAAGAAAGCTGAAGCTGAAAAAACATTCTTGGGATATCTCAGATTGGACCTGATTTCTTTGGTGGTACTACAGAAAAAAGTTTCACGCACTTGATGGAAGTTCAGTTTTATGATATGCCAGACCTTGTAGAGTGGGTTGGGGGAGCTAACTATCATCTGTTCTCAAGGCTTGAAAAAATCAGTTGCACTGATTGTCCCATGCTCACAACGCTGCTGATCTCAGGTTGGCCTATTTCTTCTACCGAAGGCAACACTAAATGGTTCCCTAGCCTTCGTGATCTTCACATTCTTAGATGCCCGAAGTTGTGCCTTCCTCCCATGCCTCGCACTTCGATGGTATCCCGTATTTATACAAACTGCTTGTTTTATTATCGTACTAAGTTGGACATTAGGAAGCCCTCTGAATTGGTTTTCCACAATTTTGGTGATGTAGAAAGGTTGACAATTCAGGATGCATCATGCTTCTCATTTATGGATCTTCAAAAGCTACATTCCCTAAGACATATAAAGGTCAGTAGATGTGAGGAAACCTTTTTGAGAGGACTGGATGACGGTGTTGTGCTCCACACAGTCCAAACTCTCGAACACGAACACTTTTCACTTACCAGAAAATCCTTGCCAAATTTGTTCGAATGTTTCCCAGCTCTTTCTAGTTTGGATGTCAGCGCATCATGAGATGAGGATCATGAGGAGGTGGTACTGCAGTTTCCACCCTCCAGCTCGCTGAGAAATGTCCGCTTCCGTGGGTGTAAGAATCTGATCCTGCCTGTGGATGAAGTGGGAGGAGTTGGGTTCTGTGGCATCTCGTCACTCGAGTCCGTGGCCATAATAAATTGTAACAAGCTATTCTCTAGGTGGTCCATGGGAGCAGTAGCAGCTCAGACTCAGCATCATCTACCCTCTCCCCCCTTCCCTCAAGGAACTCTGTCTTGTGGGGGAGCAAAGCACGCTGCCAATGGCTCTGCTCGCGAATCTCACATCTCTTACCAGTCTAGAACTAGTTAATTGCAAGGATATCACAGTGGATGGGTTTGTTTCTCTCATCACAATCAACCTCGAGCGTTTGACGGTGTACAATTGGACCGAGCCCTATTCTGTAGCAGCAGATCTACTTGCAGCGGTGGCAAGGACCAAAACATTGCCCGCCGGTTCCTTCCAACTGGTGAGCCTTTATGTGGACAGCATCTCTGCAGTGCTTGTTGCTCCCATCTGCAGCCGCCTCTCCGCTACCCTCCAGAACTTATGCTTCGGTGAGGATTGGCGGACGGAGAAGTTCACGGAAGAGCAGGACGAGGCGCTTCGGCTCCTCACGTCTCTCCAAGGCCTATGGTTCAACAACTGCAGGGCTCTGCGATCCCTCCCCCAAGGGTTGCATCGCCTTCCTTCTCTCCAGGAATTAAGTATCGGGGGGACTCAAAAAATCAGATCGCTGCCCAAGGAGGGCCTCCCCGATTCACTGCGACTGCTAGTCATACGTAATTGCAGTCCCGAGATTTATGAGGAATGCCAGAAATTAAGGGGAACGAGGCCAGATATATATGTCCGTGCCTCCATTCCTCGAGTGCAAAGCTGAGTCTCAGCTTCTGCGTGCCTTTCACACCACGCTCAAATCTTCAGTGTACATCGATCGGCAGGTTAGTTCCAAATTAAAAAACAAAATACCCTTATGCTCCTCGATTTGTGATTCCATTGACTATGCAAATTGAATTGTGATTTATGTAGACTGAATTTACGATTTATAATTTCAGCTCCCTCACATCTCTCCGAAGCCTATCGTTCAAGACTACAGGACTCTACAGTTCTGAGGCGGAAAGCTGAATCGCACCTTCTGCATGCCTTTCACACACACACACACATGGATCTGCAGGTTAGTTAAAAAACAACTTATGCTCCTCGACTTATGACTTCATTCACAGTGCAAACTGGATTGCTTTTTTTTTTTTCAGTTTGCTTGTAGATATGAATGATTGTCATGTGCTTCTGTGTTACAAGAGGAGCCACCATTCTCAATTCTTGTTCTGCCCTTCATTTGCTTAATCAACAATCACCTTGTTTCTGTCACAGCACGATGTGATGATATGCTGGTTTGCCTTGCAGGACTCTGCTTCATCCTACGCTTACACATCGTTCAAAAACCATAAATAATGAGCCCAACACCGATGCATCCAGCAAAGATAATAAGGGAATTCTCGACAAGGATGACTTGGTGCCTAAGTTTGAGGACTCAAGAAAAGAATGACCTCGTAGCAACACCAGTCCATCCAGCAAAGATTAGGTGAGACAGTCACAAGTCAACAAACTTCTCGTGTATGGCATTGTCTCTTCAGTTATAACGTTTTGGGTTGCTTTCCTTTTTCAGCTCTTGGGACTTTTATTGTGATTTTTTAGGGATTTTATTCAAACACATAAAAGAGGTCCTACAAAAGTTCACGAAACGAAGAAAGAAACAAAGAAAAGCAAAAGAATTACACATAAGCTTCTAGCCATTGATTAATGAGGGGTTCATATTTCTGCTTTGCTCTAAGGATAGCATGAGGAGACTCTATGACTTTTTTTTGTGATTTCAGGTCCCTAATTCTCGTTGGTCATCTGAAAACCACTGAAAGCAGGAGATGCTGCATAGTGAATCAGACTAGAGGCTCTTTCTGCTTCAATCAACTAGAGGCTTTGTTGTTGTTGTTGTTGTTGTATTTTCTATAAATGACATAATCCTATGGAGCCATTTTGTAAATTAATGATTTCTTGCTTCCTTTGTTTAACAGGCTGGGCTCACAATTGTGGATAATAAAACATCCAGTATCCTTGAGGAAACAAAGAAAATTCAAATTAGAAGGAAACATGCTGGTTCAAGTTCTTATATGCCCAATTCAGCAGTAGATACACATACACCCAGCACTCCTGATCTCTCACCATTAAGATCTGCAGCCTAGGAGACTGAACTGAACGCTTCTGACGACGTAAGGTGTCACATGCATATATCTTGATCACAAATACGATATTATACATCCTCTATGTAGAAAACCAGAGTCCCTTGTTGGGGAACCTGCAACATTTAATGGTCCTTACAGTCTGATTAACATCAATTTTTATGTTTTCTAATCTTATGAAGTTGGGTACAGCATTAGTCTTCAGTACAGATATTTGTATTTTCTACCAAGAAATGTTTCTACTTTGTTTGCCCATCTGCTTATTTCCAATTTCTTTATTTTGCCAATCTATTTATTTCTAGTTCCTTTGCCCATCTACTGAGTTGTTGACTGTAGTGTAGTTGAGTTTTGAGATTTTACAATGATACCTGCTGGAGTTTCCTAATGTTTTCTTACGATTTGTAGCATTATGGAAACATAAGCATTGTGGCCATCTGATTAGCAGAGTAAGCTCTTTTCTCTGCTTACAATGAATTAGCAAAACTGTTTTTTGTCAGAAAACATAATTTTTGTGTTTTCCGTGATCGTTATGATGTTAGATGAATGCTTCGGATAAGTAATGGATTATTCTTTTTACTATCTACCAGAAATGATCCCTTTGTCTTTCCTCCTATAAATTGTTTCAGGTTGCTAATGCAATGGCTGCTAAAGCAAAACTTCTGCTCCGTGAACAAAAATCTGTTAAATCGATATAGATTTTTCCGCAGCAGACATGCACTCAACTAGAAGTATAGAACAAGCTCTTGCTAGAAACAAAGCAGAAAGGGGAAAACTGAAGAAGATGATGACATGGGTAATTTTCTTTCTGATCAAACTTGTTTGTTATCATTTTTTATGAAAGGACAGCAAAAGCTTTGCCGCAGATTTTATTAGAAGAAGAAAAAGCAAAGGCAAGTGCCGGCCCAGTTTGTTAACTGGAAACTTTTTTGTTATCATCTTTAATATCTTTATGAATTACATACATCTTGATTTTCAATTCATCAAGAACATTGAATAGGTGATAATTCGTCATCAAACCAATAAATTAATATTACTACATGTGAATCTTAAGATTAAATAAATTATATAAGTTGTTGTTAATGCTCATGTCATTTCTGAACACTTACCTGAAAGGGTCAATTTTGCAGTACTCTGCTTCTTTTGAAAAATTCGGCATTACATAAATTTAGATAGAAGTTTGATTCCCATATCTGTTTCATATTAGTTATAAATTGTTGGTACTGTCAGCTTGTTCTTAACAACACCTTGTTATAGTGAAAAATAGAACATGGTGTTTATGAGTATTAACCTATTTTCTCCATGTTATAGTGAAAAATAGTATCTGAACAGCTTGTTCTTTTTTTCTTTTCTTTTTGAAAAATTACGATCAGCTTGTTCTTAAGAACATGTAAAGAGTATCACTGCATCCTTTAAACTATGGTATATAGAACATGGTGTTGTATCTGTGAACTGATGAGTATAATGTATTTTCTCCATGTTATACTGAAATAATCTCACCGAACAACCCTTTGGTGAAACAGATTTGCATGCAACAGGAGACATTGACATATTGTCGGCCAAGAAATCGAAGCTGGCATAGGAAAACTCAACAATGCCTGTGAAAACCACTTCGTGCGCGAGATAGTAGATATTTTCATCAATTGACTACCCACGATGTTGTCTAGTTGGATGACGACGACATGGAAGACAGTGAACCAGAAGAAGATAGAAACCTCATCTGCGCTTCAAAATGTGCTGCCCGTGGTTGAAGAGAATCCATCAGATGAACAACACCACCCTGTCCTCTCCTGTCTCCTGACCTGAACCTCCCATGGTCAGCCGGGGTGAAGAATCATCGCCCAAATCCTGCAATTTTCATAATGCCTCAAAGCTAGATGCATCAGCCTCTGACTTAGCTTGACGCGTGTGACTTCGCCATCTTGCATGTAACTTGTTCTGATGCCTTCCTGTGCATGTATATGCCTATATGTGGTGTAGTATATCACGGTATCGCGCGGCCCAGGTATAGTAGCTTCTAGAAATGTACTGCCGCATCGACGTATTTTTATGCGTACGTGTATAGGCTGGCTGAAGAGATGTGCGTGCGTGTGTAGTAGACTTGCTAGCTTTGAGCAGAGAAGCTAACAGTCAACACACGTACACACTTGCATGGGCCATGCACAAATCGCATTAACTTGACGGGGCGAGGTAATCTTCATGCCATCAGTGGCGGACGCAGGATTTGAAACCAGGGTAGTCCTAGTCAAAAAATTTCATGTGCAACACGACTAAATTCAAAGAAAAAGTTCGGTAAAATGGCTATAAATTAACCAAATTGAGATAATACAATTGAAAGGTTCAAAACTTATATAAATAGATCCAAAACTTGCACAAATAGATTATACATAAGATAAGGTCTTACATAAATAAGAGATTACATGGGTTTCTTTCAGTGTCTCACGGCCTCGCGCAGGGGCTCAGGAGGCAGACGGGAGATACCTTATGCTCGCTAACGTGGGCTTCTTTCAGTTTTTATTGGGCCAGACTTTCTATAGGCTAAAAGATTGAAAATGCTGAGTACTAAATAAATTTTGGGCCAGATTCCAGGGTAGTCCTGGCCCTACCTGGACTACCCTTTGGGCCCGCCACTGCTTGCCATGGGCTCTTCCATCAACGAGGCCCTTAATCATTTTTTGCTAGCACCATTAAATAAATAAATGGATACAATTTGAGATTGAGAGCACACGTGCACGCGTGCACTCTAATCCACCCTTCGAGTTCTTGACTTTTACTTTGCACGTTATTTGCCTCTTAATTAACTAGAAGCATACCTCGCGCGTTGCCGTCGGAATTTTCGTGAAAATAAATCTGTTATATACACTAGTAAAAAAAAGGGCTTCTATTCCCGGCTGCCAACCCCATTTGTTCCCGGTTACGCAGACGGGAATAGGAGTTTGGGAATAAAGGGTTAGTAGCCGGGAATAGAAGTGGACCTTTAGTCCCGGTTGGTGATACTAACCGGGAGTAAAAAGGTAGCCACGCCAGCGCCTGGGCTGGCCCCTTTATTCTCGGTTGGTATTACCAACCGGGACTAAAGGGTCTTTTTTTTCTTTTCCTGCTTATTTCAATTGATGATTCTTTTTTGTTTTAATTTGGTTTTCGAATACGTATTATTCGCTGCAAAGTAATATACGTATACGCGCGCGTACTGTAAAGTTTTCGCTCGATCAATGCACGCAAGCAACACAAGTAAAAGTAAACTAAAACATAATATTACATTTCATCGTCACATGTAAAGTTTGCATTAATTGTACATTTCATCATCACATATTTGGGTCATAGTAAAACTCGCCGCCGGGAGTTAAGACCTAATCATTCAGAAATTCATCTATTGTCTCTTGGATTGCTTTGAGATGGTGTGTGTCCAGGGTTTTTTCCTTCAACCAACGAGTCTTTAATTTGAGATATGAGATAAAGAAAAAGTATATTAGTATATATATATGTATGAAGAATAATGATAAATAAATTGTATCTATCACGAATATATATATATATATATATATATATATATATATATATATATATATATATATGTGTGTGTGTGTGTGTGTACACTTACCCTTTTTTGCTCTAGACTAGTTCTTTTTGAGCACACTCTCATGAACTCGTAAACATAGTATACATAGAGATTGGTCCCCTAGGGCTGCAGCAGAACCCACTTTACGAGAAAAAAAATTCGTCATCATCCGAGCATAGGGAAATTGAACTAAGGTAGGTATATAGTACTTACTTTGTATAGCACTACTTTTAGTGACACTTTGCGTTTCATATGGTGTTTCTGACAGACCTTTTCCCAACAACTATCAAATAACATAAAAAAAATTTGGACCATTAATTTGCATGCAGAGACTGAAATAGTTTTGCTAGTGAGACTGCAATTACCTCTGAATAATATCTATCATCTCTTGGAACTCTTTTTGCTCTTTTTTCATCGAGTCCCAGATGCCTAGAAGACCTTTCTCCAGATCGAGTTCCATCAATATCCAGTGTTCACTGCCATGTCCATTAACACTCATTAATTAGCTAACAGGTACAGTGAACATATATATATGGATACACGATCGTCGACATTATGAACACTTACCTGAAGTTGTAGGGGAAGAGTATACATTTCTTGTCACGTTGCTTCTCTAAGAACATCTTGATATTGGCTTCCGTTTCTGCTTTCCATGTTGGTTGGGGTTTAGGGTTTTTGAATACGATATGTGGATCAATGAAACCAATATCAGTACACCCTCTCTTTTTGCACTCTCCCATCTCAAACTTGCATCATATATATAGAGTGAGGATAATAAACACAGACATGTACGTACGTAGCGACTTATTATTAATTAGTAGAAAGAATCACTTACAGACAATAGCAGCTGATGAGAGTGTTGTCGAGAGAGTTCCGGTGGACTAGTTGGTGTAATTCAGCTAACTCAATGTACATAACGTCATCGCCACGGAACCAATGGTCGTCTTTGATTCTGACAGAAATATAGAACTCTTTCCGGTGACACGCGTCGCGGTACAAGGTGTTTAGCTTGAACAATTGTGTATCCAGTTCATTGATGGTCTTAGGATTCCATAGACTCCTGCCATGCTCATATTTCTACCATTCATCCGCTACCGGCGCACTTTCAAAGAGGAAATAGCCAAGGTCGATACCTCTCATAGCATAAAAGTTAGCAAGTTCCGCCATATCCACTTCTTTATCAGCAGGTATTTCCATCATATCCAGCATATCTATGTTTGAACCATATTCATTAGCAATAACTAGAGGAGGGACTGATTGTAATTCTTGTTCTCCGAGTTATGAAACAGTTTTCCCTGCTTTAGCAGCTTTCTTGATTATCTTGCTAAGAGTGCGGTCAAAGTCTGATGGTGGCGAGGGCTTACGAGCTTGCCGCCTCTTTTTCTGCTCAGCTTCCACCATCCGCCTTAGTTTAGCTGGAGGTAGGTGGAAGTGCTTCTACTCCTGC